AGCACAATACAACATTCCCAGGATGCTGGTTCTTAGAGAAGAAGGCTTTAGATTGGCTATGCTTCATTTTTTGCCTTGTGTAGGCATTGAACTTGTTTAGGTTGTTAATAGTGGTAGCTAGTGCAATTTCTAAGATTAACTTTAGAGAACAAAGTGAGGTCATCAACAAATAAAAAGTGGGAGATTACTTTGATTGATGTTGAATTTTCGATTTTAACCTTAAGGTGAATATTTCTGAAAATCGCTCCATACATATAATGAAGAGATAAGAGGATATGTGATTGTCCTATCTAGTCAGTTTTCTCTCCATTAATCAAAATTGAGATAGAGCTAGTGTTGATGCAAGACATGATCAAGTTAGACAAATTGATGGGAAAGTTGAAGAAGTGGGAAGTCTCTCTGATGTAGAAACATTCAAGTTTGTCGAAAGCCTGTTCCAGTACACTTTCAAAATTATGTTGGGGGGTTTTCTTTCATTTTTTGGAGTGGAAAATGTATTGTTGGATAATGATAGCATTATCTGAAGCTCTTCCGATGGATAAAAACGAGCTTGGCAAAGGTTAATAGTCAAGGGCAGATAGGCTCACTTCTATTCACAATTATATTGATTACTAATTAATTTATAATTAGTGTTACACAACTCAATGTGTCTGTAATTCTTTTGGGAACAAGGGTTACATTTTCATATTCACAAGAAAATGATTGATTGTTAAAATTAGTTGAGAAATATTATTTGGATCTGAAATTAAGTTTATCTGCAAAATTAATTGCCCGAAACTTGAAGAAACGTATGTAACATGTCATTAATGAAACTTGAACTTGAACCTGAGAGAAATCAAATCATAATATTGGTAAGTGACTACAAGGATTTATGTGGGTCTGTTAGATATTGAATATAAGATCATAAATTCCCTTAGTATTGAAAGTTCATTAAAGAAAATCAGTTGAGTGTCATTGTATTAAGCTTATTCAAGCTTAAATTTACTTTTATTTGAAAGATTTTGAGTTTATAATTCTTGATTGTGAAAATGGGATGTAATTGCTATCTATGATTTGTGGTATACCGATTGATGTAGTGATGACAGTGATTTGAAGATGGTGAGTAGTGGTGATATTTGGTGACTGTCATGGATACTATACTAAGCCATGAAGAAGAAAACAAATTAGAAGTGAGATGGAAACAAATAATGAAAATAAAAATCAAAATACATCCATGAAAAAATATTTAAAAGAAAATTTAAATATCTTTGGTCTTTACTGTCTCAAAGAGAGTGATATACACTCGCTTTGCAACTTAAGCACTTATGGTGGTAATAATTTCAGTTTTATACATTTTAGAGTGGGTGTGGGATGGGGTGGGGAAGGAGGGGGGTGGAGTGATAGGACCTCCGTGAAATTAAAGTGTGTAGTTGAAAATTTCAATATAAGTTAGGAGGACACTTGACTATTTTCTTCAATTTTTTATACTCGACTTAATCTAATCAGAGATTGTCTTTGTACTTTCTTATCGATGACTTCTAATGTTAAAGTAAGAATGTGCTTTTAGGATATTCATTACAAGTAGCACATGCAATATCAGGGATTGACATATAATATTAGTGTAGGTAAACTGCGCTTCAGAAAAACATAGTATAAAGTTGATCATTTGAGAAATCAAATCGTAGATCTTAATAGAAAGTTTTGAAGCCATAAGAACCTAATTAACTTAATGTTGTCAACATCACTAATGTATTAGATTACTATATGTGGTATCTACTTATCAAAGTTGCTCCACATACATACTTAAGACAAAAATGGGGCAAACATCAACGAGTAAACTATATCTCCAAAAGAAGAGTATAACATCTTAAATGAATCCTACATAGGCAAAGCATTGGAGACTTGTTATGTATCAGAAAGAGTAAATTTTACTATATTGATGCACTTTAAAATTGTGCAATAGGCCAAAATAGATAGTATTACTAGGGAAACTATGTTCTTATGTTTAGCATAAAAGAAAAGAGAAGATTTAGAATAAAGATGTTTAATTTCACCTGAACCCCCACTATATGACTAACTAAAAAACATATTTTGAAGCATGAAAGGCAATCGAGAGCATCAAGGCTTCAGAAGAAATTGCTTTATTCATTTAGTGTAGCGTGCAAACTGCATTTTTTGCAGCTAATAATCCGTGGATTAAAAGAAGAATACTGGTGAATTGAAATTTTTTTTGGGTTCCTCTAAAAACATCAGTGAAAACAATCTCAAGTAGATTGAGTTTGGAGGAAAAACGGGTAGCTTGAGATATGCCATTGCTATGTCTTTTGAACAATATACGAAGAAATGAACTATTATAACGACAAAATGAGTCATTATATATGTTTTCTTTGAATTTTAGCTAGCGTTTGGTCATAGATTTCCAAATATTCTTGGCAAATATTATTTGGGTGAAATTTCACCATGTGTTTGGCCATAGTATTTGGGAAATATATTTCATTTTTTTAGAAAAATATGATTTATACCCACAGGTTTTAAAAACTATCAAAACTAACAATAAGTTTGTATTACAAGTCAATTGGGTCTTCGTTGTAACAAATAACCAGTAGTGTCCATGACACTAGAGCAATGTGGTAGTTTGGAGTGATTGCAACAAGCATCATTCCATACATCGTGAAGTAAACAAAACACATGACTTTGTTATCCTGAGCCGATTGTTTATCATTTTCATTAACAACCATATCATCATTTTCATATTTCATCACTACTTTGGTGTTCACGTAAAAAAATTATGTAATACAACGCAACAACTACTATAGAGGGTGTTTTTGTAAAAGATAAAAGTTTGGTGTAAAATTTTAATTTTCAAAAGATCCCAAATAATGAGATTTGGCCCAAATACTAGAAAAAACTAGTATTTGGGAATTTGAGATATTTGCCAAATAATAGCAAATTGTATGGACAAACACTATTTGCCAAATTTTCCCCCAAATATTATTTAGAAAATCTATGGCCAAACGGACCCTTAGAGTGCTAAAGTTAAAATGACTATGAAGTTAAACGAGTTGTCCCATTAGCACATGTCAAATATTAGGGGTCGATGATTCAAATATATTAGAGTTTTATTGTGTGTATTAAGAAGATATTAGTAGACTTAGGGTGTGTTTGGTAGGAAGGAAAATATTTTCCGGAAAATGTTTTCCAATTTTCTCATGTTTTGGTTGGGTTAAATGTTTTGGAAAATGTTTTTCAAATCAATTCATTTTCCTCAAATTTAAGGAAAATGACTTCCTTTCAAAACTTAAGGAAAACATTTTTCAAAACTCTCTTCCAACTTCCAATTAAAAAAAAAATTGTTGAAAAAATCAATTTATTTGGTCTCTACCCTCAAACCAGCCCCCCCCCCCCTCCCCAACCACCCAAAAAATAAATAAATTTAAAGTTTTTTTTAAATTCAATATTTTTACCCCACCCTCACCCCTACTCCCACCCCCTACCACCACCCCTCCCAAAAAAATATTAAAAGTTGTTTTTAAAAGATATTTCTAATTTCAATTTTTTATTTTTTTTCACCCCCACCTCCTACCCTCGCCCCCCCAGCCCCCACCCACCCCATACCAGCCCCCCCACTCTCCAAAAAAAAATTAAGTTTGTTTTTAAAAAATATTTTCAACTTCAAAATTTCATTTTTTCACCCCTACCCTTAACCCCCCCCCCAAAAAAAAAATTTAAGTTTGTTTTTAAAAAATATTTTCGACTTCAAAATTTCATTTTTTCCACCCCTACCCTCGGCCCCCCCACCCCCACCCACCCCTACCAGCCCCCCCACCCCCCAAAAAAAATTTTAAGTTTATTTTTAAAATATATTTTCGACTTCAAAATTTCATTTTTTCACCCCTACCCTCGACCCCCCACCCACCCAACCCCTACTAGCCCCCCCCCCCCCCAGCCCCAAAAAAAAAATTTAAGTTTGTTTTTAAAAAATATTTTTAACTTTAAAATTTCAATTTTTCACCCTACCCTTGACCCCCCACCCCCACCCACCCCCTACCAGCCCCCCCACCCCCAAAAAAAATTTTAAGTTTGTTTTTAAAAAATATTTTTAACTTCAAAATTTCAATTTTTCACCCCTACCCTCGAACCCCCACCACCTCCCACCCCCACCCACCCCCTACCATCCCCCACCCCCAAAAAAAATTAAGTTTGTTTTTAAAAAATATTTTCAATTTCAACAATTATTTTCTACTCTAGTAAAAATAAAAGAAATTTTTCAAAAACATTTTTCATTCATAAATCAAACACTAAAAATCTTTTTCGAAAAATATTTTCTACTCACCAACCAAACATGAGAAAATAAGTCAAAAATCAACTTGTTTTCCAAGAAAACATTTTCCATGGAAAACATTTTCCTTCATACCAAACACACCCTTAGTTTGTGTATCAATGCACACAAATTAGAGTTTTAATGACAGTTTGACCCTTTTCTAGTCCACACTCCAGGTGGATAATCTTGAATATTTTTATTCTGACAAACGTAAAAAATATCTTTTTTTTTAATTTTATATATGTTCAATAATTTTAACTTTTGAACTTAAAGGTTTGTCATGTGACAAACCAGAGAAACAAATTTACATCCAAAGTCAAAAGTGGAGTTAACTATGGGATATAAAATGGTTCAGATACTCAATTGCTTAATCTAGGCTAAATTTTAAAGAATGATATATTTCAATATATTCAAATCAAGATATGATAGCAATGAAAATATACATAGTTATTTAAAAATATGAATATATATATATATGATTCCATAATTTGAGCAAAAGATAACAAGAATGTAAATTAGATTCATAGGGCCCTAACTAGTCGAGCCCAATTAGATTTCCCTGTTTCTTTTCTTTTCTTAGGGGCTAAGCCACCTACTTTGTCTTAATGCCCAAGCCATCAATTTCCCAAAACTCTCATCCCTCTCGCTATAAGTAATTCCCAGAACCACGACTCAAAACCCCCATTTCTAGACCCCAAAAGCACTCAGATTCTTCTTTTCAGTCCCAATCTTCAATGACGAAGACAAGTTCGTTGAAATCAACAGCTGTGGTAGTTGGTGCCCTAGCTTGTGGGTGGCTAGCCATTGAGTTCGCCTTCAAGCCATTTCTCGAGAAAGCTCGTGCTGCCTTGAACAAATCTGACCCTGCTCGTGACCCTGATGATGAAGATGATCAGAACTCGCAACCCGGTAAATCTCCATTTGAGATTAATCCTTCTGAAGAAAGTCCCTGATTTTGAATTTTTCTTTTTTTCTTTAATTTTGGTTGATCAATTCGGTTTTAAGTATTATTAGTTGTGGTTATTAGTTTTCGGTTTTTGAATATGCTAAATTGATAATCAAATCAATAAGATATTTGTTATCGATTCTCAATTTTTGGTCTTTTATGGTTTGATTTTCGGTTTAACTAATAAGAAAATACTTTCAAAATAAATATTTGACTGGTCGAACAATTTGACACCAGATAAAAAAGAGAGAAAAAAAATTACTCACTAAGTGCAAAAATTTTGCTTAGTGTACAATTCACGAACTCTAGTCGTTGCCTAATCCTTGTCATCATTGTTGCAAACCCTAGCCGTCACTATTCTTAGTTCTTTAATAAAATTATAAAATAACTGTTAATCTAATAATACTATTTTTTATTCGATTTATCAACTGATTCAATTTATGCACATCCCTAATAATATGTGAAAGTATGGAAGTAATTTTATACTATTATTCTGTGTGAAATTTATATGAAGGGTTATTAGGTTGGAATGTTATATGAAAAATATAGATTTCATATGATGCAACTGGAAGATTCAGGATGTTGAAGATATATTTGGAGAACTTTTAAAAGTATAGATTATTTTATATTTTGTGGTATTAAATTAATGATATAGAAAGTACTAAAAAGGAGTAAAACAATTATTCTCTCTAAAATAATTAAAATAAAAAGGAAAATAGCAAAAATAAATTAAAAGCAAAGAGTAATTGATAACTCGATATAACATTAATTAATCTGCAGTAATCGAGTATAGTAGTTGAATCCATATTTTAATTACAAATGCGTGTCAAATACTATAAAACAAAAGCTTCATTGTTTGCTTGTGGTTTTTGTTCTAGTAGTAAATTTGGTCACCTAAAACTCAGTTGTGACTTGTGACTAACTTTTAATTTATATATATATATATATATATATATATACTATATAATGTGACTTAGACACATCGGTACTTATGGGACCATCATGCTTTTATTATATTTCGGTGGCTTTAAGTCATACGTGACCTCTTAAAATTGTCCGCATATTTCAATTAGATACTTTAATTTAGGTCAATACTTATTGAAGACTTTAATCTTAACAAATTTATATTTATTAAACAAAATGAAAATTTGTCTAAAGACAAAAGTGTATGTCTCAAACACAAATACATAATGGATAGACCAATGAAATGATGACATGTGGCAATTAGATAAAAAAAAGAATTGAAAAAACAACAATTTATTTTCAATCAACCCACGCGTACGCCCACCCGAACCCCTACCCCCACCCCTCATCCTCTTCGTCAAAATCAGCTACCCTTTGAAAGCTTTTCACCCATTTGGGATTTATTTTCTTTCCACTAATAATCACTTACTATCTTAATTATCTAAAAAAACAATAATGACTTTTGCTGAAACAAATAATATTCAATTCATATTATTTTCATCGGAAAATGAAGTTTTGCTAGAATATTTGAGATTTAGATGTATATAATAATAACTTTAAAATAATAAAGGTAAAAGTAGATGAAGAATCAAAAAGGGTGAGAGCGAGACAGTCGTACTTAGAGGATGGTTGCAGTGAAGAAGTGAAGAAAAAGACAGGGCTTTCCGCTTTTAAAAAAAATAAAATTAAGTGTATAAGTTTGGAAAATAAATAAAAAATATTTTAAATTTCTATATATGCTCAAGGAGCGTGGAACACTTTTTTTTTGGCTATACTAGTATTTTGTGTATAATAGGAATGATTTTTGAATAAATAAGGTGTCTAATATGTACAAGTCCTAATTGGAATGTCCAAGTGAAATATGCGCAGACAACTTTAAGTGGTCATCGATGACTTAATCTTATTTCTGCCGATCACATTGCTCATACAACATGATTAGACTATTATTAGACTTTCATATGTGAAAATAAATTATTTGAACTACTTATTTTGTGTATTAAAACTAAATTGTATAAATTAATGGACAACAAGTAGATTTTTTTAAGAGAAAATTATATATAATAGCAAACTATTAATTGAAATTAAATGTTATAATCACAGTTTTATTTAATTGTAACCCATAGTAAATTGTTGTCATTCACCTCTCTCCCTAGGTTTCTCGCTCACCACTTTCGTCAATCTCTCCCTTGCCTCTCTCGCTTTTATACAAACACAAATGTATAAAATGTGTTTGTGTTTGTATAAAGCGAGAGAAAACTGTATATACAAATACGAATACATATATATTTTCGTCCTATACACTTATAATTATACAAATACAGATCTTCCCCTGCCCAGTTCTCTTTTGTCTTTCTCTCTTTCTCGCTTTATACAAACACAAATTATACAAATTACAATGTATAATTTGTGTTGTATAAAGCGAGAGAGATATATTTGATATATAAATGTTTTATTTCGATTTAATTGTATACAAATTCAAATTTTATGCAAATATACAAACACATAAAATTGAATTGAGAGGTTGCCAACGATTTATACAAATGGCCTACCAGCGAAATTATACAAATTTGAAGCATTGCCACCGAGTTATATAAATTGATGCTCCATAGCAAACATAAAGTTTGTTATGGGGAGCAATTATACAAATTATAGTTATAACATACAAATATGATTTTTATGTTTGTCATATGTGAAAGTTGCTCTTTTTTTAAACGGGTATATATTTTGATTAAATGAGCTAAAAAATAAAAAAAATGGTACTGTTTTCACACGAAAAAAAATTAGAAAACTTCCCCAACATTTCAATGAGAATTTATTTTCCACCATGCATTTTTTCAGTGAGCTGATTTAGCGAAAATCATGTTTATAACACAAATTTTCACTGATTTGCAGAGGAAAAACCTTTATTTTTAATAATAAATGAAAAAAAGGATTATAAGATTGAAAAATTGAACACACACAAAAGCTTAGTTGAACTATTAAGATTCCCATGAACTAAATTAGTGGTTAGTTTTTTCTAAAAAAATAAACTTAATGATTGAGGTCTCGATCATTTAAATTCAAAGCTCTACTAAATGGTAATTGTGGAACACGTCCTCTCCAAGAATAATATTTTCTATGAATTCTTTCATTTATTAACTACCAATGATAAAATATATTTGTCAAAACACTATTTTGATACATTATCCAACATCATATATCTATCTATGATTATAATATGCCACCAGCCTTTATATACAAACCAAAACACTAACATATTTTCAATAAAAAGGTTCTTTTCTTCCACACCCAACACAATTGATTTGATTCCAAAATGTGTATAACAAGGAGAATAGCTATAAGGTAAATCAATTTATTCGAAACAAAATCTTACAAATTAGATATAACATCAAAATCAACATTAATGGATGAAGATGCAAAGTCATAATCATATTGAAATTCAATAAATAGGTCAAATGCTTCCTTATGATGTTTCAATTAATATATTATAAGTGGCTTGTCCTCTATGGGAAAGCTTATCAAATCATCTGGATGATTAGTCTCATCATATGTCTATCTTATCCAAATCCACATTACCACATGTAAGAAGCCAAAGTTAAGTATCTTTAGATTAAAAATAATTATGATCACGCAACATTGGATATTGTGTTTACAAAAAGAAAAAGAAAATACAAGAAGGCAATCTATTGACATATTTTAAAAGTCACCAGATCTTTTTCGTTCCATACTAATTGTCTATATTATTATGCATAGTTATTTTATATTTGAATCTTAAATATACTATACAATTTATCCCCCGACTTTGAAGTCAAATCCCTGTCACACCTCTCAACATAAACAACCTCCGACAACATATGCCCGACTTTTTGAAAACATCATTTACATACACCACTTTTGTGCTTGACCAATTTTTTTAGTACATGTGTATGCCATGCCCTGATAAGAGGTGTCGCGATCTTATTTAGAGTTGATATATCACTCGTTAAAGTATCATAATTACCATGGTTGTCTATGAACAAGCTTCAAACAAACTTGAAGTTCATCCACAACAACTAAACAACTCTCTGATCAACAAAAAACTATTGTAACAAATACTTAATTATCAAATTTGAAATTTTATATCTCCTGTATGGAAAAAAGACGTCGCTCATATGTCTAATCTTTTGTAGAATGAGTGATCTATTTAGCAATATAGGATATCATTTCTTAACTTCTTAAAGAATTTTTCATATGATCAATTTATTTCCATTATATACTTTTTATGAGGGTCCTTTTTTAAAAAAATTATTTTTTGGCAGCATTTAACTATTGGATAGGTAGGTGTTGTGTCCTATTCATACTTCAAAAAGGTTGGGTGTAATAAAGGGTTGCCCCGTATTGAAGTATTGTGTCATATAGATTTGATCCCAACGTTTGGAGTAAACTATGTATTCTATCCTATTTAAATTAAAAAGTTACTAGAAATATAAAAAAATTGAAAAGAAAATAAGACACTTCGATAGAAATGGAACAATATACATTATTTTACAAGATGATTATGATAACTCAAATTTTAATAGGATGAGTATCGGTGTAAAGTGTAATACTTTAGGGCTTTTATTAAGATATTAGTAATGCAAGTTTCACTTTTTTTGAAAAATATATATTATATGAATGGTCAATTTTGAGATTCTTGTAGACCCTTGGTATGAAAAGAAAAAGGGTTTTAATTTCGGGTAATTACCAACAAAATTTTAGGTAGGGGATATTCATCTTATAAATTACTATTTTGGAGAGACGGATTTTCATGGATCACCTTCTGCAACATGGAACCATAGATTTTTCTTGATGCCCTTTGTGTGACCAGACCAATGAGAGCCACAACCACTTATTCTTTAATTGTTCTTACTCAAAGTAGATTTGGATCAAGTTATTACGTGTCAATACTTGTATACAATGACACAAATTCATAAAAGTGTCAATACTTGACAAGAGGAGAAATATAGAGCGAATGCATATGCAAGTGAGTTGAATATATATGCAAAGATGTATCAACTGTGTTTAGCTGAAATAGTATATCACATTTGGCTTGAAAGGAACTCGAGAGTGCGCTTGCAAGTCTAGAAGGAGGAGGAAACTATGGTGCGACCTATTATGCAAGAAATTCATGTTCAAGGGTCAGTGAAGATCAAACTAGCCAAAA